CCCGACGCTCCGGCGGGGGGGGGGAGGGGGGGACGGGCGTCGCGGCAGGGTATGCCAGCGGCGGGTTGTTGCCGCCCTCGAGGTACTCCAGCACCCCGTGCAGTGCACGGCCGGGGACGCCCCACCAGAGGCGAGGGCCGTCGCTGTTCTTGACGCACCCATCATCGGGGCCCCGTTCGTGGATGCCAGCCGCTGCGCCTGCCGCCGCTGGAAATACTCCATCCACGTCGTGTGGTTGTCAGCGGCGTACCGGGGGAGGGCGCGCTGCTCCTCAGTCAGGGCTGACCGCACGCGGTCGACCTCTGCGGCGAAGAAGTTGGGGCGCGCGTCGACGTCGGACACCGGGGGAATGGGGACGCCGCCGTTGCTGAGCCTCCATCCCGTTGGCCCGACGCGCATGTCCGACGGTGCCGGGATGTTGGCCTCGAACAGAAGCCACGCCTCCGACGACTAGAGCGAGCGGCGGCCAAAGCCGTTGGCCGCCGCGGCGTCGCCGAGGAAGCGCTTGGCCATCGCTGGAGAGGGAAGGAGGGAAGGGGAGGACGAGGGGAGGTAGAGCTCGGCGGCACGGACGGGAGAGGGTAGAGCTCGGCGGCGACTGGTTTGGGCTCGGGATGGTGTGGCCAGGGCGAGGGGGAGCGGCAGGTCTTTATAGCCCGCGCCGTGTGTACGCGTGGCGGGAGGGGAAGCGTCACCGCGCAGCCCGTGACGCGCCGACCCGTGAGGAATCAATGGAAGGCTGACCGGCGGCAGCCTTACCATTGATTCCCCGCGGGAAACTGAGGCGCGCTGGGGAAGACGAGGTGTCGTCTCGCTGAGGCGGCTGGCCCACGGCTCATTCGCGCCAAAACTGTTCACCCCAGCGTCCCCGAGCGCGTCGGGTTCGGCCTGGGTCCGCCGGTGTCAGTTTCGGCCCAAGGCGGCAAAAAACGGGCTACTGGGGCGCGACTAGGCCGATTTTTTGACGCCGGCGCGGCAAAATCACCTGAGAAGGGCCTGTTGGAGGCGCGGATGGAGATGCTCTTATATTTAGGAACTAAGGGAGTACATGTTATTAGTTTAAGTTACTCCTCACTATGACTGACCTCGTGGTTGCCCAGATGTCAGGAGCACAAGTAGTGCACAATGCCTGATACACCGAGTGACACGCTTATGTCCACCTTTACACGGCTGTACGGCTTGCATGGATCACAGGTGACGTTTGGATTTTCCCGATATAAATTACAAGTAAATGTAGTTCGAGCATTTCGAAACTTGAACACAGATCAATGAATTGTGTTCTAGTATAATTCGAGTTTAAATTACATAGTTTGAGCTAAGTTTTGGAACTACCAACCAATTATCGAGTTTGAATCTGAAAAACAGAAATACTCCCTCTGTAAAGAAATATAGAGCATTTAGATAACTACTTTAGTGATCAGTGATCTAAATGCTCTTATATTTC